TTATTGATTTTCAGCTTACAAAAAATCACATACGAAGACATAGAGTCAAAAGCAATACATATATACACAGGACACACAATGAGTTTCAGTTTAAAATCAAACTTATTAGAGAGAGATAACATAACATTTGTGTTATGTGAATAAAGTTGTCAATTTATATCATAAAGGAGGGTGGCACAGCGGATGTGCTAATGTGCTTGGAAAACAGGATGATGAATGTAATCTGATTAAAACAGCGGAGGAGGATAATCACAGTTAAGGCCACTGATCTCTGAGCGTTAATTATTTTAACCTTTATTTATCTGGGTGAGGTTTGCCTACACACATTGACATTTGGGAGCTGCCAGCTGGAAGCAGCAATTCCAGTCATCCACTAAGCAGTTAGCATGGTCTACTGAGGCATTTGATAGTTCAGTGCTGTGCTCATCGGCACTTTGGCACTAGATATCGGTGTTCACTTTCCAGATTTCTGTCACTGGAGAAGGGGCTTATATGACTCAGGATGGCGTTGGTTAGATGCAAATTATATTTTTGTAAATCAAATTGTGTTGTGACTCACTTTGTATTGTACTGTCTATGAAATGATTTGCTTCACAAATGATACAAATTTTGAAAAAATGCATCTGGTTATGTTTTCGTATCAGTCTTCCTAGAATAAATGTCACTTGAGTTGTATCAGACCTTGCCAATAAGGCCAGTTTGTCTAAGTAAAGTATAGGATTTATGTCTAGTGAGCATGACTTATGTCTCTAGAAACTACAATTCTCCCTCCCAATCAATTGAATGTGGTCAAGATGGAGACCCTAAAGAAAAATGAATGCCACCCATTGTGTTTTGATGGCTGTGATCGTATCACACAGCCTGGACTGTGACAATGACCTCTGTCTGACCTCGTTGATACTGCTCCCTCTCTCAATCACAAACACACACACATACACGCTGACACACATGGTCTAGTGATGTTGCTGATGTTGGCACATGTGTGCTCTGGGCCAAAAGCTGCTTCATTGGCACTGATTAGCGCTTTATCCTTCCCCTGCAAACACCAGCCAACATCCCTCTGCATTCCAATGGACTACACCAACCACAGAGACAGAGACAGAGACAGGGGACGAGGGGAAAGGAAGGGAAATAAACTGGGAAGAAAGCAGTATTAACAATAAGACAATTTGGCATAATAGTACATTTTGTCACAATAAAAGTAATTTTTGTTGATCTTAAAGTCTCTATATGACCTTCAGGTAAACGAGACCAACTGCAGGGTTGTTATGACTGTTGAGTTGCCACTTCCTTTCATCTGCTGTATCTTTCCGACTCACTAAAACAAAAGTACACTGTGGTCGTTATTGCTGATAATGCTGCTCAAACTGACAGCGTTGTCACAAAAACAAACGTGCCATCGTCTGGTTCCCACTCAAGTAAATAAACTTAGATTAGAGGTTTTTTCCTACATTGTTGTCACTGTTGGCAACATTAGCTGCCAGCTGCAGTTTGTTTTACCTTTTTCTAAATGGAGCAACTGTAATGTAAGTATGTCAGATTCTGAAACAACACTTTAAATGATATTGTCCTGCGGAAAGAGGCAACAAATCAGAAAACAAAAATATGTGTCGCTTGAAGGGAATGGATACATGTGGTTTAATTTAGAGAATATTATTGTCTATTGTTCAGACTGTGATTTTATTTGCTAGAAACTGTCTCGGATTGGCGTTTTGGGGCATTATAAGGCTATCTTCCCTATCAACATTACAGTCTTCTGTGAAATTGTCTTTTGATAAGTATATTCTATGAAGCAGCATAATAGGTTATTAAAGACATTTAAGAGGTGAAAAGAGGGAGAAAAACACGTTAAAAATGTAAAGAAACACTTCAATAAACCAAGTTTGGTGAGCAGAGTCTCCACTGATTTATACCACAGCACACTTCAGTGAGCTACAACCTTATGTCAACTCAGCATTTTGAACACTATGGTTTTGTTAACTACGTAGGATCACACTGAGCTATAATTCTGTTCTGTCAGTTCATGACAGAAAGATAGAACTCAGCATGTCGGCCTTTTCACACACACACACACACACACACACACACACACACACACACACACACATACACACATACACACACACACACACACACACACACACACACTGAATGAGTCACAGTCCATAGTCTGAGGAAAGCTGATAAGACCCGACTGAAGACCTGGGTTGCATTCCAATAGTCCATTTAGCTTAGGAACCTTCCTAACGGAGTGAAATGACCCGGAAGTACGTCACTGGCAGCCATGATAAGTGCCGTTCCAATTCTCCAAATGAAAGGAAAGGAGGTTTCAAACTTCCTTTATAACCTCCTTTAGCATAGGAACCACTGGACCTCCCTAACCGAAAGGAGAGGAGAAAATGCTGCCCCACAATGCATTGCAGCCTGTTTAGAGTCGGAGAGGTCCTGATAATTTATTCCGGTAAATTACTCTGACCTACTAATTGACCTTTCCGAAGTTATTGAGTCTATGTAAGGTTGCTGCTTGGCTCAGATCCACCAACGTCAGCAAGATCTCACCTCTACTAACCCCCCGAAGAACCAAGGTTCAATTAACTGCTGTTTCAATTCAGACAACTCTTTTTTAATCTGTTTAAGCGATCCCGAAGGATTTTGATATCAGTAAATGGAGTGTGCTCCTACCTAAGTGTGTGTGGCAGGGTGCAATCTTACCTTTGACGCAGGAGAGGAGGGCACAGGTGTCTTTTAAATTATCCCAATCCAACAGGTGGGATTCAGTTTATTTGAAGAAAAATAGGTCCAAACTAATACAGGGTTTTTACCTTCTCTCTTTACAACATTATAATCATACTAAAAACCTGGTGCTGTGATCATGTTCAAATGAAACTTTAATTCACAGTCTTACATTTATTACCAAAATGTTTTAATTTCAACTGCCCATTTCAGTTGGGACATTTTAAAATTCTCCCGATAGAATTTAGAGGTATTTCCTCGTAAAAAGACCGGTGACAATAAAAAGCGCATTCAACTTTTTCATTTCACCAACCAATTCACATCAGTTTATACGTTTTTTCCGACACAGACGGCGGGTATAACATTTAAAAACCTATACCTATCCGCAATTTCGGAGGGGAGATTTTCCTCACAGATGGCGGTATTTATAATATTCACAAACACATCTCTCATCAAATCATTCCACTCAGCCAACAACCAAGAAATTCGAGAGATAGTTACCCCGTCTGGCAGAACCTTACCGAGAGCTAGTTACCCAGCTCTGAAGCACACAGCCTGCCGGGAGAGAGTCTACCAGGGGTTCCCCCCCTCCTCCTCTCTCTGCGAGTCTCCTCTCAAAAAAACAGTCTCTTTATGCTAAAAAAACTGGATCGAAAACCCAAAAAACAAACTCCTCCTCTACACCTAATTTGTGAAGAACTGCGCATGTCCTATAATGTACAAGGCTGAACATGCCTCAACATGTTCCATAGCTTTATGACATAAGACTCACCTTCTCATGTTAGTGTGAAAAGGACATGAACTATTTTTGACCTCTGTATTTCTCTCTAAGCCCGGAGCCCCCCTCCCTGTGCACCGCTGCCACAGGAGAGGAAGAAAACTCAACCTAAACAAACCCCTTTGTTTTGTTTATACTGTAACTATAGAAAAACCTAAAATATGAAGCATTTTCATTGTGGGTTATACAAGAATATAATTGATTATATTTGATTATAACTAACTTTCGTTTTTAAGTATTAAACATACTATGAAAACTCACAACACCCTCTTTTCAAAACGCAAAGTTATCAAAATAGCAACAGAAAAAATTGTAAGCACATACATATTCAAAAACCGTCAAGAAGCATTCTCATTATGGGTTTATACAAGAATATGATTGATCATGTATGATTTATTAATTAACTTTCGTTTTTAAGTATTCACTTCATACCATGATCTCAATTAACTTTCGTTTTAAGTATTCACTTCATATGAAGATCTCAACAAGCCGCAGCATTTGCCATCACAACAGTCGGCCGTTCACGGAAACAACCGATTATGACCGAGAAATGATATCATGAAAGTTACGGTGCTTATTAAGCATTTTAAAACGTATGTGGTAAGTTGCCAAAGTGCTTTGTTCTGAACGTTCATCAGTATTATAATCAAAAAGAGAAATATGAACGTTAGTTTTTACTGAAATGATCAAATAAAGTCAACATCTCACAGTCTTTACTGAGCTGTGTGGGGTTTGTTCAACTTTTAAAAGATGTTTGAATGGTGATATACACAGTGATAGATGTTAAGGACTAACGTTTATAATAAATACATTTGTATTGATTTTAAGATATTTTCATAGTTCATACAATCATACGTATTGGGATCATTTGTATAAATGTGGACCGGAGGGAGAGGGTGACGAGCATAAGTTTCACTTTCCTTTTTTATTTCAATTCCAACTTTGGTCATGAAGAATATGTTTCTCTGTTGTCCACGTTCATAAAGCATAAAACAACAGCATCAGAGCACGGTGCAGAGTCTCTAGATGAGTTTACAGTAGTCCCTCGTTCTTATTAAACATTCATGTTGTAGTCCGCTGTATAGAAAACTGTAGTTTCCATAGTTTCCCCACAGCAGCAGACGCACATTCATGACGTCCGCTGGCGCATCATAAACACGTCGGATAGTGAAAGTGCATTCGGATTCTCTAAAGTACCGCGGTCTCTTCTCCTAAATCCTTTTGAATTCTCCTATCCATTATCCCTTAACCCCGTGACGTTTCACTCAGAGGTCAAGGAATAGGAGATAGGGTTAGAATTTAGGAGCTGATTTTTGGATTATCGGAACGCAACCCTGCTTTTCAACAGGAGACAGATGGAGTTGGAACAAAACACATCACACACACACACTGTTACATTCCATATTAGGCTAGGGGAACTAAAGGGAAGAAACACAACCAGATTGGTATTGGTATAATTATAGGTGATTTATTTTAAATAGCAGCGGTAAACAAAATGGAAGGCGTGCAGCCTGAAACAAACAAAAGGGCACAGGTTGACAGATAACCAAACTAAGGGAGGACTCAAAAGGCATACAGGGAAAATAAATACTAATATGCTAAATAAAGAACGAAACAAAACCTCACTTTAAAAGTGGTACAGACTAACACAGGAATATATACAAAACACACAGCTAAACTAAAAGGCAACAGTCACACAATCCTAATCTACTCTAAACACTAACTAAACTACTCTACACTCTAACTAAGCTACTCTAGACACTACTAATCACACAAGTTTAACCACAGTTAACAGAATTCTATTAGAGCAAGTAGCGAGAGGCGTCTGTCCACATGTCAGAGCCTCCAGAGTGGTGATAGTCCGCAGCCTTTGTACTCCTCCCCAGCAGGTGTGCGCCGGCTGTGCGCTGCGATTGGACGACGTCAATCCAATCACCGTCTTCAGCCAAGGATGTTGGAGCAACCACACAGCTCATTTGCATAAACACACACACAGCTGAAAACACTCACAGGCAGATTAAAGAGCAGACAAACAGCAACCGTAACACACACACACACACACACACACACACACACACACACACACACACACACACACACACACACACACACACACACACACACACACAGACAAAAATAAATCAGAGAATGCTTTCTAATGTCATTGTAAAAACATGTCTGTGACCGTTGGTAAACAGATGTGTAAATGCTAATATTAAATAAAGACACACATTTTTGCTTTGATGTATCAAAGTATAAAACACCGTAAAAGCAATTGTGATCTAAACAGATGACCACACTTTAAATCTAACTTCAAATTCAGATGGGTGTTGTTACACAAACAGAAACAGTACAAGAAGTTAATACGTATCACAAAAGGGAGACCGGCTGCATTTGGAGACAAACATGGAGGGAGACTTTTGGAGCTGGTCTTACAAAGCAACACTTTTGCCAATTCAATTCTTCACATTGGCATAAGGAGTGTTTCGTGAGAAAACTATGCCAATTGCTTCCCCTGTTGAATTGCACAACGTCAAGAGACAGCTTGATGCCATATGTGACTGCCTGGATATGAACCAGGGTCTTTAAGCCAGCAAAAGACTCAACTGTTTAGACATTACTAGAACATCTCTATTAAAGCCATACTGTTCCTAAACAGCCCGTTTGGGCAAGCATGTTTCATTTCTTTATGTTTATTACAAACGTGAGCCAAACCCTAGACACTTGTAGCAACATCCAACATATTGTTTTCACCATTAGGAAAAACAGATGAGGCTCTGACATTATGGCACACATCATTTTTGGCATAATTAATATGGTGGGATGGCCTAATTGTTTTCCACTCTTTAGTTTGCCATTTACCGAGTTATTTATGCATTTATCCATGTTAAATATCTTGTGAAAATCTCCACGAAATGTGTTTTGTTCCATGGGTTTCTCGCGCTAATGCAACAGATGGATCCCCTGCAGCCAAGAAAACATATACCACTAAATAAAATATTCATATAAAAAAGAAAGAAACACCAAAATCCAATTAAAAGAGGTGTGTCCTACTTGTCATGTGTAGTGTTATAATACTGAATTCATTTTGAGTCACTTGGTCACATAAAATGGAAGCTTGTTTCCCAAGCAGTTAGAATCGAAAAACACGTTTTGTTCAAACCAGACAAAAAAAAGAAACCAACCTTCAATAGAGACCAGGTACTTAACGAAAGGTCCCTTGCTCTTCAGTCATGGGCCCAGGATTAGTTCCCCGTGGTGATAAAGCATCCACCCTGCCAAGGGGTCCTTGAACAAGGCACTTAACCATGTGTGAATGTAAGGAGCACCTTAAAGAGAGGGATAAAACATTGTTGTCAGCACTGTGGTTGACTAAGCGCTTTAAAAAACACAATTTCCATTCAATTAAATTGTGCCAGTGCAGATTTTTATACCATAATTGCTTATTATACGGTTTAACCAAGCAAACTCACTGAGCTTCATTGCTCCCCTTTCCCACTACAATAAAGATCACGCTCGGGTTCGAGAAATAACACCCTAAAGCCTTCACTGTGATTATAGATATGATGATGATGTTGATGGCTACCATCTGCAGCACCTAAGCACCTACAATCAAAGTCTCAAACAACAGACATGCTGCAGGGTGTAATTGCTTTAATACAGTGTTTTCTGACACAAGAGGCATATGATTATTTGTTGTATAACATCCACGCCCTAAAAGAAAAACAACCTATTTTTTTGGTTTGCAAATGTTTTCATTTAAAGAGGAATTAACACCTTTTAACCCTTGGCAAAACACATCTTGGGTTCTGTCACTGCTATGATATGCTGGCAAGTTTATTTTTATATGTATCCATTGGGAAAGAAAGTAAATTGATGTGAACAAATACACATGTGGCACTGCTGTGAATAATTGCCATCCAGCATAAGTGTCTAATGTGCATGGCACAAAGACAGAGGAAGTCATTGTTGATGCCCCTGCAACCTTTAAAAACACATCGTTAAGCTTTTCTGCTTCCTTTTCTGTTTGGCTCTTCACTAAATATATCACAGAACTGTTTCTTACACTATAACTCCTTCCATGGTACCTAAGCACTCTAGGTGCTGTAAATTCCTACAAAATAATCTCCTGGGAGAAGATTTTGTGATTGATCTTCTCCAGGCTTTTCTCTCCTTCACGAAATTGTCACAGTGAGAAGCCCTGAGAGGCAATATAAAAAAAAATCTGGTGATCCATTTTTAAAAATCTGATCTAAAGTGTTTCTCAACTGTGTTTATGCCTTAAGAACAGGTGAACAAAGACTTTTGCCATCATTTTCTTCTAAGTTCCTTTTTCTTCTTCTGTGAAAATAAGTGTGGAGAATTAATGACGGCCCTATCTTTCTTTAGCTAAAATATAATGTTACATATCTTGCAATCACACAAATTGAGAAATTAAAACTCACCTGAAAGCATGTTTACTTATTTAGAACAAAGGGGAGTGGTGCGCTTCAGCCTCTTGTGGCCAAAATAAGTATCACAACAACGTGTAAAATAATGGTCCAAAAAAATAAATATATCAACAGACAGAAAAGAGTTTTCACTTGTATATTAAGTCATAAAATCAGGAGAGAAAACGTGTGAAACTCAGACTTATTTATTTCACTTTCCGTAGTGTACTGCTTCTACAGAGAATACATTGCAGGAGATTTGATTGGTGCACCGCCCCACTGCTTCGCCACCTTTTGAACCAAAGCTTTTGGACTCGAACTTACTAACTATCAGTTGTACTCCTTACAACAGGAAATTGGCTCGTTTGTACTGTACACCCAACATAATAGTGCTCTTTTTTTTTACCTGACAAGTTTTCTGTAGCCGACCGTGCTCTCTGACCTCACTGGAAAGGCTCAAGCAAAAAGATTATCTTTCCCCTCGCAAGAATCAATATAGTATCAAAAAAAGCTTACACTGTATTTTCTGCTACCTTTGGTTGTTATTCACACTAGAAAAAAGTAATAATTAATAAGTTGGAGTGTGCTCTAGTCTAGTAAATATTGTGATATACAGGTGGTACAGGTCTTTAAAATGTTGACAATGACATTGTATAATTTTCTGTGTGCTGACATCAGCTCTAACACGGAAAACATCTGGTGCCTCAAGGGTTTATAACTTCACATGGTGCCATTTCTTCTCAAAAGACACTCTTTGTTATCATGGATGAATTACTGAATGGGTCTACCGGGTACAGGCACAATACACTTAGGGTATTGGGGGCCCCTCTGGCCTTCACCTGCTAAATGTCACTCCAAAAGACATGTAGCAACCAGAGAGAGATTTAAAATGATCAGAAAGTTATAAAATGACTATAGAAAAACATGCAATGACAACAGAGAGACCAAAACAACTATGAAAAGCCTGTCTTTAAATAGAAGCCTCTCTTACAGTTTCTCGATTGCTATCACACTAAAATTCTACATAAATCACAATTAATTTTATCTGACACTCAAAGAGCAAAACATCGGCTCAAATCTCCAAAACTCTAAACACGTTTTCAGCTTTTCACACAATTTGCAAATCAACATGGCACTTTTTGCAAACCGCTGCACACGTCTCTCCACGTACAGTAAAACACAGGAATCTGACATAAAGTCACGTGTTAGCAGGTTTAAAACACTGATATTCAAAAATGCCTCACACATGGACCAATGATCAAGAAACACGTTCCACCTGACCAAACACCTGATAGCATAATTGTTGGCTCATCAATCAGGATGTTAGCACTATAAAAAGACCACAGGTGAGAACTTTCTTACAGCAACAATGGAAGCCAAGATGGCAGCAAGAGGAAGAGGAAGAGCTGGGTGAGAGTGAGAGAAGGAGGAGGAAGAAGAAGTGGCTGAGAGTGAGAGGAGGAAGAATGAGAGGTAGAGGTAGAGCTGGAGGGAGAGGACGTGGACAAAGAAGAGTACTCTCTAATGAAATGAAATGTTATCAACCATGGTTTGACGATGAGAGAGGATGGACAGAGGGTTCAGCCTAATCTAAACCGATGTACTGCTGCCTCTGTAATCCGGACACTTAGACTTGAAAACAGGTTAGTTAGTTTCAGCTCTGCATAATTCATGATATAGCAGTGCTTATATCTGTTGTGTGAAACGTATTTACTTCATTACTGTAATTGAATTGTTGGCATGTTGCATACTATAACTGTACAAACATCCTGCACAATGTACTGTGATAAACTTACTTTTATGCAACACACACACTGACCGACCACTATGTCTTTGTTGTTTATCTGAAGGACTGAGAAACAAAGAGGTGGAAAGCTAAGGATTTCCAATGAGGCACAGGAAGCAGCAGTTACAAACTGGGTTTTGGCAAACAATGCCATCACACTTAGAGAGATCCCAAGCATAGTAACTATGTGCTGAGATGCATGTTGCACAATGTTATTTTTTAATGAAATATGATTTTGTATTGTATTTCTTCATTTACTGTATTGCTGTAAACTCAAGCAATCTTTCTCTGCAGAAACCTCTATGTACAGAGCACAGCCCATAACATTAGTTTTAAAGTGCACCTTTAAGAGAGGTGGTGTGGCCTTTAACATTGTTGTGCCCAGGGGCCCTTCTCTCATAATCCACCGACATGTTTATAACGTGTGTAAATAATTAAAGCTTTCTCACTGGAACAGTCCATTAAGGTATGGTCAGCATTACTGCAGGGGTACAGTAGATCACACATCATGGGGTTGTATAAAATGTCAGCTTGTATATAACACAGAGAAAAAGGTCCATGTATGGCATTTGTGCATGTTTTGTATGTCAGTGACACAGACAGACACGTTCAATGACCCTCGATGCATACATTTGCGGACAGCTGTACGTGTGCCAGTCCATTTCATTTGCATGGTATTCCACTGCAGCGTATATGATTTAGTTAGTAATTAGGGAATAGAGACGTATCCAATTATTGGGGTTGTGAAATATCACCCTGTCTCAGTAGTTATTCCAGCACTGTCTGCACCCTGCATTATCATTACACCAGCTGCATATATGATTACAGTGTGTGTGTGTGTGTGTGTGTGTGTAAAAGAGTGGGAGAGAGAGGGAAATAACCAGAGAAAGAGAGCAGGAGAGCAAATACAGTAAATGTGTGTGTCCAGGAAAGGCGGCGTCTACAAAGGAAACTCATTTCTGCTCATTGTAGATTATAGGTGGCAGGACCACATGCCCGCAGGAGCTGAAGCCAAAGCCATTGCCGAGAGTCATGACACATCGAGTGCGTGTGTGGGGGGGCCAGGGTACTACTGGTACTACTTTTCTCTTCCTGTCTGACTTTACAGTTTTTCTCGATTGCTATCACACTAAAATTATACATGAAGCACAATTATTTTAACTGACACTCAAAGAGCAAAACATCAGCTCAAATCTCCAAAACTCTAAACACGTTTTCAGCTTTTCACACAATTTGCAAATCAACATGGCATTTTGTGCAAACTTCTGCACACGTTTCTCCACGTACAGTAAAACACAGGAATCTGACATAAAGTCACGTGTTAGCTGTTTTAAAACACTGATATTCAAAATGCCTCACACATGGACCAATAATCAAGAAACACGTTCCACCTGACCAAACACCTGGTAGCATCATTGTTGGCTCATCAATCAGGATGTTAGCACTATAAAAAGACCATAGGTGAGAACTTTCTTACAGCAACAATGGAAGCCAACATGGAAGCAAGAGGAAGAGGAAGAGGAAGAGGAAGAGCTGGGTGAGAGTGAGAGGAGGAGGAATGAGAGGGAGAGGTAGAGCTGGAGGGAGAGGACGTGGACAAAGAGGAATACTCTCATGATATATCAGTGCTTATATCTGTTGTGTGAAACGTATTTACTTCATTACTGTAATTGAATTGTTGGCATGTTGCATACTATAACTGTACAAACATCCTGCACAATGTACTGTGGTAAACTTACTTTTATGCAACACACACACTGACTGACCACTATGTCTTTGTTGTTTATCTGAAGGACTGAGAAACAAAGAGGTGGAAGGCTAAGGATGTCCAATGAGGCACAGGAAGCAGCAGTTACAAACTGGGTTTGGGCAAACAATGCCATCACACTTAGAGAGATCCCAAGCATAGTAACTATGTGCTGAGATGCATGTTGCACAATGTTATTTTTGAATACAATGTGATTTTTCCAACAACTCATTTGTATTTCTTCATTTACTGTATTTCTGTAAACTCAAGCAATCTTTCTCTGCAGAACTCTCTCTGTACAGAGCACAGCCCATAACAGATGAATGTGCTTTAGATGATGCTCAGCAGTGTGTAGCTGGGTGGTCAAACCATCTAGTATTATGAATGAAGTGTGTTATATTTGGTGCTAAAGTTTGCATTTGGTAAGTGTTTATGTAGTTTTGAGTGCAGTTCTTCACTTAGCAGGAGAAATTAGGTGTTTTGCACTTTGGGTCTGTGGTTTTGTGAATTGTGTTTAGTGTTCTGAGAAACTGAGCAATTTAAAAATAAATGTGTGTTAGCAATCGAGAAAAACTTTAAGTACATGGACACACACACACACTCATTCAAAGGTAGGTACTACATCACAAATAAATTATACCACTCGTGCAGCGCTGTACATAAACTAAAATACCATCAATCAGATACTGCTGCTCTCTCAAGGAGGTGTAAATACATACAGTAAAGGGGTAAACACACACAGCTGCTAGCATTGCTGTGTGTGTGTGTGTGTGTGTGTGTGTGTGTGTGTGTGTGTGTGTGTGTGTGTGTGTGTGTGTGTGTGTGTGTGTGTGTGTGTGTGTGTGTGTGTGTGTGTGTGTGTGTGTGTGTGTGTGTGTGTGTGTGTGTAAATGTGTAAACCTGCACAATCATATCTCACCCACTGAAACAGCCACCATCCGCTCTGCCTGTCACCACTGGAAACGAAGAACAGGGACCGTTGTATGTCAGCAACTGGAGAGCTGCTATCTCCAACCATCTGGGAAAGAGGAAAATAAAGTGAATCTCTGAGGATGAAAATAAAAATAAAATACAGCTTTTAAAAGTGGAGGCAGACAGAACATTCCCTCCATAGAGTAGAGCTCTGTCATAAACCAAGAGTCCTGCTCTGGGAAGTGACAGACTCGACAGCAGCACAATGTGCATGTATCAAATATATTATGCATGAAAAGAATATATTGTGGCTGAAATTTTAATATGCATTTTAATTTTAGTCATATGTTGTTCCGAAGACACAACATCAGTGCAAACAAAAAATATTATGGAGTGTGTATTAATCTCCCTGTGGACTCCTTTGTTTTGTTCCTAGCTTGCACACAAACATACACCTGCCTCCAGCCCCTCCCTTTATAGTCTCCACCACACACACACATACACGAACACACACATACACGAACACACACACACACACACACACACACACACACACACACACACACACACACACACACACACACACACACACACACACACACACACACACACCACACACACACGCTGACAGATATGAGGGAACGAGTGAAGCAGTAGTGAAGCTATTGATGCAGGTGGAAATAATTTACAAGTTGCACATGGGAGCTGGAGGACGGAGCCTACTCTCGCATTCAGGAAGGTGAACACATCTATCTTGTCCTACAGTGTGCATGCTATAAGAGCTCACTTTTTGAGTATTTTGGCGATAGTAGAAATGTTTATAGCGCAATACAAACTCCAGCTTCTCTCATATGCCCGCATTGAGATATGCATGCTCTTATCGCTGCTGGCGGTTGCCTTGAACAACTTGCCTGCACGGACTCCGCTGATCATGTAGAGAATTCCACAGCTCTCTGACAACAAAACCCATACCACGGTAACTAACAGCCACCTATCGCCGCCAGCCGCCCTGCGCCGACCTGATTGGACCCTCAAATTGACTGACGTGCTCCTCCGCGTTTCCCATTGGCTACGCAGTAATGGCCTCGTGACTGCGTTCCAATGAGACGCGCTGAAGGCGGAGCGCGTGGGCTGAGGCGCAGCTCTCCGTGGTACTTAAATGGAGCTGGTGCTGAAAAGAGTGAAGTACTAGCACGCACGACAGCCGGAGCGCCCGGTGCGCGGTGCGAAGAGTGAGACACACAAGTGTGAGAAGAAAGAGGGAAGAACAAGAGAAGGAGGACAGAGGACCTTGCAGCCCTCTGTACTCATGGACCATAAGGATATTTAACCATTTGCCCGGGGAGAGTACAGGTATACTTTTTGTATCCACATTTTGCACCGTGCGTAAAGACGCAGGTCTTGCATTCTCTAGCCTTACTCTTAAGCAGCTGCAACCCTCATACTATTTTTTTCTTCTCCTTTTTTTCTGCATGGGAACCGCAAGCTTGTTCACATTCCACTGGAATTAATGATTGACTAATGGGTGTGAATGGAGCAAGGGGCAGCGGATCATTGCTTGCGTTAGTGTACTCTTTCGGCTCAATAACACAAGAGTGCTCTTTCCCCTCAGTACAGGTGACTGCTGAGAAGTGATGAGTGCTTTCTTTGCCTCTTATCTATTGAGTAAAAGGGATTAAAATTCAGCCAGGCGTCTGTGCATAATGTGTCTTGTTATATGAAAGCTCTATCTTACGCTATTGACACTCCTCTCTCTATCACTCTCTGCATCTTTCTCTCCCCTCGCAGACACCGCAGTCCATGCCTCTGCCTTGCCAGGTCATTGATGGGAAATCAACTGGATCGGATCACCCACCTCAACTACAGCGAGCTGCCCACGGGGGATCCGTCCGGGCTGGAGAAGGACGAGCTTCGAGTCGGCGTCGCTTACTTCTTCTCTGACGAAGAGGAGGAGGTGGACGACCGCACTCCGTCCGACTGCGGCTTCACCAAGGACCTCAGCCCGGCCGAGGAGGGACCATTCTCAGTCAACGAGGTGGGGTACTCAGCCTTCTGCTCCCAGGAATGCATCTTCTCCAAGCTGCAGGAGAACGAGGACTTGAATGTGTTCGCGGCCAAAACTTTGCTGACTATGTGCAAACCGGGGGACCTGCTGGAGCTAGTGGCCACGGCCCAAGCCCCCCACTGGGCCATATACGAGCAGGAGGATCAGGTCATTCACCTGCACAAGGGCGAGATCCGCAAGGACAGCCTGCTTGAGATCAGCAGTGGTCGCCACGGGAGGATAGTGAACAATCGGTACCGGTACCGGCCGCTTCCCCCTGACCTAGTGAGGCAGAACGCAGTGGGACACCTGGGCCTGAGTAGCGAGGAGATATGCTGGACCAACTCGGAAAGTTTCGCAGCGTGGTGTCGCTTTGGGAAACGGGAGTTCAAAGCTGGGGGAGAGGTGCACTCGGCGGAGCAGCAGTATTTCCTCAAAGTGCATCTGTCCGGCAGTGGGGTGCACACTCTGGTCTTTCGCAGCCTGGAGGACATGATCCGGGAGAGGAGGCGAGTGGACGCCAGTGGAATTCTCAAAGAGCTTAACGGGGGCAAGGAGTGATCAGGGATTCCGTTTGATATCCCCCCCCCCTTACCATTTCTTCCACACACCCTCCCCATTGCGCACGGACGCACAAGCAAAGGCACACACAAGCACACAGACAGACGCACACACATGCAAGGACCTGTTGGTTTTGGACTGTCTGCTTGTTGCGGATGGACCCCGGGCTGCGTCTGGACAACAGGCGCTCTGTGGAATTTGCATTACATTTGCATTAGGGTTGAAAACTGCGAAAGAGCGGCCATATAAACAGACAACGCCCCTTCAGATAAGAATTCGTGCTGAGTGGGACACACGATTTCTGCTAACCCCCGAACTGTGAAAGTCACCTTTTACATACCGCACATAGCGCACACGGCTCGGTTTCTGTTTAATTTCTCGGGATAATGGAATTGGCCCCCTCTCGGCGCAAAGGGCGCCTGCTGCGGCAGACCAGACGGTGAGAGATGGGGAGGGGGGAGGGGGGGTGAAAGATAGGATCTGGGATGGCTATGGACAAGTCTCCCTTCTATTTTTTTACTGTTAGCTTTAAAACCGGGACTGACCATAACACAGATCCACTAATTCATAGACCTCTGACAGTCCCAGATGGCTACGCAGTTGCCTAAACAAAGCCTTTTGGCTTGATCGAGCTCCCCTTTTGCCATATCAAGAAGAGTATTGTCATTTTCACAATGCTGTTATCCTGCTCCACAGCACTGGATGTATGTGTACAATTGTATTCATATTGATTTCAATTTGAGTCCCTTATTTTTGTATTTACGTTTAGTGGATTTAACCCTGATCTCTGATTTTTGGTTGAAATAAATGGAGGTTGAAATATGAAAATAAGCACTTGGGTCTGGCAAGTGTTGTTTGGTCACACATAATTACTCTCACAAACACATGATCTCTCTCTCTCTCTCTCTCTCTCTCTCTCTCTCTCTCTCTCTCTCTCTCTCACACGTGCACATGGTGATATTAATTATTTATGCCCGAGTGCCTCCTGACCTGCCTTGAGCAAAATGGGCTTCATATCTGCACAGTATTTGGAGGCAGTAAAATGGTCATCTGCATCAAAGCCATGAAGGTTTATGAAAAATCCATATTGGATCAGGAAGCTACATTACATAGGCAGCTGTACAGAGTAAATGGGAACATGCAGTGTTTGGCTAAAGGCTATTTCCATGTCTGGGGTTTATCCTGCTGGTATTTCAACATTCACAGACATGTTGATCTCCAGATTATGTTTTTCCTCCCTCTCCCATTACAACTCTACACATTTACTAACATCCCATTTTACAACTGCAGTGTGTACAAGATGTCCCTCCATATAATGCTTATCGTGAGCAAACACATTGTGTTGTTATGGCACCTGTGTTGTGACTCTGGATTGATGTTTTGGCTCCTCTGCTCTGAGAGTCAGACAGTGCCTTCCTTTTCTCGAGAGATCTGCTGTAGTATCAGTGACGTTGGGATTAATATCCTCGCTCTAACTTCTCGTGTCTCCTTGCATTTGCCTAATTGAGTCTGAAAGCACCAGCGGATGTGGAAGTGGATTTATGGCCGTAGTCTTTGTTCTGCCTGCTACACCTGTGATTCATTGTTGATCATATCCAAGGGTGGAAGAGGTTTTCAACATAACGTTACTGCTCTACAGCTTGTTTGGTTGTATCTGTTGTAGGAATCATGTATTAGCCTTATTGTGATCATAAATAACAGAGCTGCAGCTGGAATGGAAGACAAAGAGTTTGTGTGCGTGTGTGTGTGTGTGTGTGTGTGTGTGTGTGTGTGTGTGTGTGTGTGTGTGTGTGTGTGTGTGTGTGTGTGTGTGTGTGTGTGTGTGTGTGTGTGTGTGTGTGTGTGTGTGTGTGTGTGTGTGTGTGTGTGTGTGTGTGTGTGTGTGTGTGTGTGTGTGTGTGTGTGTGTGTGTGTGTGTGTGTGTGTGTGTGTGTGTGTGTGTGTGTACGCACAGTTGAAATCTCCCCACTCAGACGTGCTTGACGTCAAAACACAGACTAATAAGCCGCTGATTCTTGTGCCTTGAGAAGATTTTCTCCAGCTATTGACCCAAATACTTAATTTGATCGGCTTTGCAGTGAATTTATTGACACATTTTCCTCTCCTGTTAACTCCCTTTCCCTCTAATTCTCTTTAGCTTTTGTTGGCTGGTATACTGTATAAACAGTCTGGCTTTCCTCTCATTGTTTTACCTTTTTGTTTTTTTTACTACGCAGCAAAGCCACATTACAATCAAATGTTGTTATTGATACCAACTTTTATTGTGAAAATTGGCAAGATCATGTTAATAGAAGTATTCAATCATCAGATGCTTTGGATTTGAAATAGGAATTTAGTCATCATTTAAACGCATTTTAATGTGTTTCTTGCTAACAAACATCTGTTCTATTTTATAGTTGATCTTGTTTTAACTTCTGATGATTGTTGAGTACATTTTTCTAAAAGGATACATGTTGAACAGATAGGGGTGTAACGGTTCACAGAATTCACGGTTCGGTTCGTACCTCGGTTTGGGGGTCACGATTCGGTACGGGTTCGGTACAACAAGAAAAAGCAAAAAAAAGTCCCAAATGCATAATTCCAGGTTTGTTGTTATTTATTTTTGAACAGT